CTGGCCTTGCCAGCCTGGCCACGCGTCCTCCTCCCCTTGGGCAAGGCTGGCCCCAGCACGGCCCCAGCGTGGAGGATGCAGGCAGGCAGCGAGGGCCTGAAGAGCCTCCTCTATGTGCCCAGGGATGGCCCTGGCCTCGTGGCTCACCAATGAACCTGACGGCAGCCTGCCGCACGCACGCCTCAGTGTCCTGCAGGTACTGCAGGCTGTGCTGAAGGTAGTGCTCCGCTCTGCTTTTGTCCTTGCGCACCTGGAGACAGCACAAGGCCATGGCTTGGCAAGGAGCCCTCCTGGGGAGCCAGCTCTGCCCCTTCTCCCCAGCCTGGGCCCAGGGACTCGGGCCTTGTGCTCACCAGGTGCTCCCCGATCTTCCAGGTCTCCCCACTTCTGGCCAGTTCCTTGAGCTTCTCCCACTGCAGCAGGTGAGCAGCACTGGCGAGGGCTTCCTGAGAGGCCTGCAGAGCTGCAGAGAGTGCGAGATGCCACCACGGCCAGGACAAGACACCCTGTGTCCCCCTCACCTGGGCAGGCCTTGGAGTCTTTCCCAGGCCGTAACAGGAACATGCTGCTTGCGACCAGCTCTGCCCCTCACTGAAGGCAGAGGCAGCTCCTGCCTGTTCCTGGGGACACGGGACATTGGCCCTCATGCTGACCTGCTTTCCAGGGCACACTTGTCCGCAGCCCGAGTCTTGGTGCTCAGGCCTGCCCAAGCGATGTCAGCACTGCTTCCCCAGGGGCCTTCCCTGTACCTGGGCCATGCTCTGGATCTGCTCACTCACGTGGAAGGAGTAGGACCAGGCTCCTGCGCACCTGCTCTTTCATGCTCTCTTTCCTAATGCGTGTCGTGGAGACCATCAGGTCTTTGAAGAGGAAGATGGAGAGCTCCCACACTCTGCTGTCCTCCTGCAGAGAGGGAGGAGAGGAGGGGAGGCCTCAGCAGTGATCCCAGGAACTGCTTATGACAGGAGGCTTTGCCTTTGTGAAGCCTCCTTCCCTCCAGGTGCTACTTTCCCCAGCCCTCCACAGGGGTGAGCTAGGGACAACCTCTGCAGATGCAGCCTGGAGAGGGAGGGTTGTTGGCAGCAGGACAAGGTTCCGTGGGCTCTGGCTCCCTCTGCCTCTGCCAGGAATTTCTAGGGCTCCGTCAGGGCCCCCGTGCAGAAGAGGCCCACAGGGAGGGACAGCCCTGGGGCACGGCCTCTGCCTTGCTCTCCAGCCTGCTCCTGCCTCCTAGCTCGTCTCTGCCCAGGCCAGGACAAGCAGCGCAGGGAGTCAAGCAGGAGACAGAGCAGCTGAGGCAGAAGCGGGGCTGGGGATCTAGTCCCACAGAGGGGCTTCCTGAGAGCCAGCAGGCGCTGTGACGGGAGGTGCAAACACCCCTGCCAATGGGCACACGTGCATAGGGATACACAGCACTTATAGCCATGTGAACAGAGCCCCAGATATGCCAGGAGAGCCTCTGGCTCTCCCACCAGCCTTAAATCCTCAAAATGTGGGAGAAGCTTCTCTGACAGCCATGGGAACACAGAATCACAGAATGGTTGAAATTGGAACGGACCTCTAGAGATCGTCTAGTCCAACCCCACTGCATAAGTAGGGACACGCAGAGCACGTGGCACAGGGTCGCATCCAGGCGGGTTTTGGAGATCTTCAGAGAAGGCGAATCCACAACCTCTCTGGGCACCCTGTTCCAGTGCTCTGTTACCCTTACAGGAAAGAAGCTCTTCCTCATATGGAGATTAAACTTCCTATGTTTCGGCTTACACCCGTTACCCCTCGTTCTGTAACCTGCCACCACGGAGAAGAGCCTGGCCCCATCCTCCCTACAATCATCCCTCGGGTACTTGAACATGTTAATCAAATCTCCTCTCAGTCCTTTTCTTCTCCAGACTAAACAGGCCCAGCTGGCTTAGTCTTTCCTTGTAAGATAGATGCTCCAGTCCCTTAATCATCTTTGTGGCTCTATGTTGCACCCTCTCTAGAAGCTCAATATCCTTCTTGTACTGGAGAGCCCAGAACTGCACACAGTACTCCAGGTGTGGTCGCACCAGAGCTGAGCAGAGGGGCAGGATCCCCTCCCTTGACCTGCTAGCAACACTCCTGATGGATGAAGGGGGTGCAGCCCTTTTGATCCAGGGGACTGAAGAAGTTTTGCAGAAACACCAGGCTTTTCCAATGGTCCTGCAGGCACTCCATGATGTCTCTGAGCAGTCTCCTCATTTTCCTCCTCTGTGTGTAAGGCATAACTGCCTTGTCTGAAGCCAGGGCAGTCCTCCCAGAGCCAGGGCTCTGGGTGCTGATTCCCCAAGGGGGCTGCAGGGCAGGGCAACCCCATCCAAGGGTCCCTGGACACATCAGGGCCTCTCCATGGAGGAAGGCTGCTGCCTCCAGGGCAGGACCTGCCGGCTGCCTTAGCATAGCCCTTAGCATAGCCCTCTGTCTCCTCGTCCCTCTCGCAGGGGGGTGTCTGGGTACAGTGCTCCCACAAGCAAGGCCCTTTGGAGCTGCTGCCCTGCTTACCATCACAGGTCTCTTGCACAGCCTCCAGAGGCCGTGGAACACCAGTCTATGCATCTCCAGGCTCGGAGCCTGCTCGTAGCTCCACAGGAGCATCAGAACGTCCTCATCCATCTTGGCAACCTCATGGCACGCCAGTGGCTGGAAGGCAGCGCACAGTGAGAGCCTGGCAGAGCCAGCAGGACTGCCTGCAGCGGGCAGACCTGCATCCCAGCCATCCTTCAGGCCAATGGCGCCTGGCCTTCAGAAAGATCAGCACGCAGGGGTTTTGGAGAGAGCCCCAGGCCCACACGGCACCCGCCGCTCACCTCCTCCTCCCATCCTCTGAACCCTCTGCAGCCTCTTGTCGTCAAGCCTTAGAGGAGCAATTGAACACAGAGAGTGGCCTCAAAGGAGGTGCAAAACAGAAGGGTTTATGAGTGGTGGCCCTGCAGAAAGGAGTCAAGGCCAGGGCCATTGGCCAACATTACCCAAAGAACCATTGATCAACATTACCCAAAGAGCCGTTGACCAACATTATCCCAAGAACTATTGACCAACATTACCCAAGGAGCCACTGACCAACATTACCCAAGGAGCCATTGACCAACATTACCCAAAGAGCTGCTGACCAATGTTATCCAAAGAGCCATTGATCAACATTATCCCCTGGCATGTGCCCAGTGTGAGCAGAGAGCATTTAGAGGCCCCTCCGGACAGGCACCGTTCCCCATGAGGCTCACCTCAACACAGAAAGCCATGGCAGGCAGGTGATGGAGCTGGTCCTCTGGGCTCCTCAGCAGCCTGACCAGCTGTCTGGAGATCCAGCAGCACAGGGGTCTGCA